TATCTATCGTTAATAACGGTAGGGCAATAGTTAGCATGTTGAATATCTCGGAAGAAACGAAAAATATATCTGAAATTGATTTAAATAAAATACTCTTTGATACTGAATACGAAATATATAATGTAGAATCGACAAATGATCATAATGAACGAATAGAACGTTTGAAACAAATAATAATAACTGACCACATGGACGAAATTGAAAAACAATCTATATACGAAATATGTGAACGATATAATAGCATATTTCATTTGGAAGGGGATGTTCTAACCTTTACCAATGTCGGTACACATTCTATTAAGTTAAAAAAGAATCAACCACCTATCTATCGTAGACCTTATAGATTACCACACGCACAACAGGAGGAAATAAATTCACAAATTCAAAAAATGGAAGAAAATGGAATTATCGAGAAATCGAGAAGTCCATGGAATTCCCCACTATTATTAGTACAAAAGAAAATGGACAATTCAGGCAAATAAAAGTTTAGAGTAGTAGTAGACTTTAGGGCACTTAACGAAGCTACTATGAATGAATTTCACCCTTTACCAAATATTACAGAAATACTGGATCAACTAGGAAATAATCAAGTATTCTCTCTTTTAGATTTATCGAGTGGTTTTTACCAAATTTTGATGGAAAAAGACTCACGAGAGTTAACAGCCTTTTCGACTAACCAAGGTCACTGGCATTTCAAACGAATGATACAGGGAATGAAAACGAGTCCCGGAACTTTCCAAAGAGTTATGAATTCAGCTCTGGCAGGTTTAATAGGAATAAAATGCTTAGTATACTTAGACGATATAATAGTATATGGAAAAAATTTATATGATCATAACGAAAAATTAATAGAAGTTTTCGAGCGTTTACGAATAAGCAACTTAAAATTACAACCAGATAAATGCAACTTCTTAAAAAGAGAATGTGTATATCTAGGACACGTTATTACGAAAGACGGAATAAAACCCGACGAACGTAAATTAAAAGCAGTAGTAGAATTTTCAATACCAACAACCGTAAAAAACATTAAATCATTTTAGGATTAAGTGGTTATTATAGGAAATTCATAAATTCATATAGCGCAATAGCAAAACCACTAACCAATTTATTAAAGAAAGACACGAGTTTCGTATGGAGTAACGAATGTCAAAAGTCATTCGATACCTTGAAGGCAGCGTTATGCTCAGAACCAGTTTTAAAATATCCGGATTTCACAAAGACCTTCTTATTAACTACAGACGCGAGTAATAAAGCACTCGGAGCTATTTTATCTCAAGGAGAAATAGGTAAAGATTTGCCAATATGTTATGCGTCGCGCACATTAAATAAAAGCGAAAGCAACTATTCAACAACAGAATTAGAATGTCTTGCAATAATATTCGGAGTTAAACAGTTTCGACCATATTTATACGGTAGGAAGTTTATAATACTTAGTGACCATCGTCCATTAACGTGGCTCTTTAATTTGAAAAATCCATTATCAAAGTTAGCTAGATGGAGAATACAATTAGAGGAGTACGATTACGAAATACGTTACAAACCCGGAGTTTTAAATTCAAATGTAGATGCACTCACACGCATGTACTCTATACAGGAAATAAAAAATGAATCATATGAAAAATTTCTCGAAAAATTAGAAACACAAATTATCACAAATAGTAATGTAAAAGAAACTATAGGCACAGTAATAGATTCACCAAAAGAATATAATATAGTGTCAGAAATTGCCAAGCAATATAATTTCAGAACAGGAACAAATTATCAATTAAAAAACAATTTGGAAACGGTATAATATTACCGACTAGTAAAGTAATAGGGGACACACCATATTTTAAACATGAAAACCGGTTTATAATATTCTTAGTAACGAAAAACAAAGAACGCCAGAGGGCAACTTACGAAAATATATATATATCGTTAATTAATTTAAAATTATTTTGTAAGGAAAACAATTTGAATAAATTAGCCATGGGCAAGCTAGGCGATCACGATGATTTAGAATGGGAAAAAATAAGGTCAATGTTGCGATACATATTTCGCGAAACAAATATAGAAATAATTATATGTGCAAATGTAGAATATAGTGAAGAAGAAAAAGCAGTCATTTTATCACAATTTCACGACTCAAAACTAGGCGGACATTTAGGTGTGAATAAAACTACTAAACGTATAAAACAACAATTTATATGGAGGGGAATGAAAGAAGATGTTAAAAAATATATAAGGAATTGTACGTCATGTCAGGTTAATAAGGTATCAAATCGACACATAAAACAACCAATGGCTATTACATCCACTTCGTCTAAACCATTCGAAAAAATATTTATGGATATAGTAGGGCCCTTGCCGATTACACTGTCCAATAATGTATACATTTTAACGATGGAGGACGATTTGACAAGTTACACTTTAGGAATTCCACTTCCTGACCAGAAGGCAAATACTGTTGCGGAAGCCTTTGTTACACACTTCGTTTGTGTACACGGCATACCAGAAACAATACTCACGGATCAAGGAACTAATTTCCTCTCGAAAACGTTTGCAAATGTTTGTAAAATATTAAAGATAGAAAAGGTTAACCTTCTATCGGTCGCGCGGTTTTTTTTTCATATTTGGTCGCGTGGGGTAAAAATTTTCCAAAATGTATGTTTTTTGATGAACAACTGTATTTATTTATTTAAAATTATTTAAAATTATACATTAGGTACATTTTAATATTTAAATCCAAAATTGTGTTTTTTTTTTTTAAATTAAATTAAATTATAATATTAATTTTATATATATTCTTGTTTTATTTACATTTCTTCACAGCAGCTTGGACACATTTCTATGAGATGATCACGGCAAATAAGTCTTGCACAATTTGTGCATACTTTTGTTGTCTTTCGATCCTTATTTCTGTCACAAAAAGAACATCTCCCTGATTGTCGAAATCGTTGAATTTCCTCTGTAGCATTTACACGAAATCCATATTTTACAATTTTATTTTTTATTTCCTTTGGTAATGATATGATAGTGCAGCGATATTCCATATGCTCCTTCATCAATTCTCTAGATAAACATTTCAAAAAATCAAGACGTGTCTTTTTGTTATGTGGGCAGTTTTCTTGATGTATTATTTGAGCATTGACACCTCCGATGTTTAGCATAGAATAAAATACTGTCAATGGCCATCGGAAACTTTTCCTAGCTACTGTATAATTTTCCGTCATGCGATCCATGTTATCGACGGCGCCTTTGGTGGCATTATATAAAGTAATTATTTCCGGCTTTCTTGCTTCATTCGTATTTGTATCAATTGCTTTATCAAAATGCATTGTTGAAAGAACTAAAACAATTTTATTTTTTTTCGGCATGTATGAAACCAACGTTTGATTTTTACTAAATGCAAAGTACGAAGATGTTATAATTCGGTGTTTTGTTTGAGTAAACTCGGGTGGGATCTGTCTTTTATTTTTCCGTAAAGTACCTATACTCTGTTCAAAATAAGATTGTGACCCGGCGGCCGAGTTGTGCGCATGGGCGTGGCTTTGTTCCGTGGCTGCGCCCGACGCGTCGCTGTAGTGGGGACGGCATCTGGCCATATGTCTGACCGCCGCCCGACGAAAACTGGTCGCCGCCGGGTCACGATCTTATTTTGAACAGAGTATAGTAGTGAAAGTTTATGAGTATTTTGTAAATCGTTAGCTAACTCAACACTGGTAAACCAGTTGTCAGTAGTAACATTTCTACCAGTTTTTGAAATCGGTTGAATTAACCGTTTGACAACACTAGCGGCTCCATTACCAACTTTGAACGGCCCATCAGGTTGTGTACCATCATAAATTTCAAGATTTCCTGTGTAAAAATTTAAATTGTCGCAGAGGGCAAATATTTTTATTCCATATTTTGCTGGCTTACTCGGTATGTATTGACGAAATGAACATTTTCCACGGAACGCTTGTAATTTTTCATCGATGCAGGTATATTCAGACATGGAGTATGCCGTTTTACAACTGCTCACAAACATTTCAAATATTGTCCGTATATGTGTTATTTTATCAATTTTATGTCGTTCACTTCGACCTCGAACGTCATCAAATCTAATGCAACGGAGTATAAACCGGAATCTTCGTTCTGACATTACGCTCGAAAATAGTTCTGCCCCTGTTCCATCCTTTTTCCATAAATCTTCCGAACTTCGGTGTCCACATTTTATAGCACCTAAGTATACATACACAAAACAATTGAAATAAAAATAATATGGCAAATATAATATGATATAATTATAATATTTTATAATAATATATATAATATAAATATATTATAATTATACTATACAACTAATAGGTATAATACAAATATAATATGATATAATTATAATATTTTATAATAATATATATAATATAAATATATTATAATATACATAATATAAATATATTATAATTATACTATACAACTAATAAAGTTATTTTATTTTTTTATATTAACCTATCATATAAAGAATTCCAATGACAGCTTTTATTTCTGCAATATTTGTGTCAGAAGCATCTCGTTCCCTCGTAAAATTTGGTCGTACCTTTTGGATGTATACGTTCGTACATTTGACTATAATTTCCAACATAGATTTTGGAAAAAAATATACCACGAATCTACTATAGTTTTCGCTTGTCTCGCAGTTTCTTTTACACCTGATTTCTCGGTAAGAACATTCTGTGCATAGGCTCGTCTTATCTGAAGTGGTTTTTCACGGTTCCATTTAGTACCATCTTTACCATAATACGAATCGACCAACCGCATAGCCAAAGGTAAGTCGTCATCAGATTCATGATAACTTTTTTCACCACAAACATCAATAGTATCGCGTGGAATAGCATTATCTTCATCCGAGTATCCCGACTGTTCTGTGTCTGTATCGTGATTCGAAACTTGTGATTGTTCAGCATCTTCATTTTCATCACTAGAAATATCACCCCAGATTTCCCTCTTCTACTCCTATACCAAATGAACCGTCAAAAACTATGAATAAGTGTAAATCACCCAAAAAAGTTGTGCATTCCTGTACTTTTGATTTCAATGAAAATAGTTTATTAGAAGCTATTGGTCATCAACTGTGTAAGCTATCAGGTAACTGCTCCAGGAACTAATTTGAATACTATTTAATAAATTATATTTATATAAATTACAAGGGTAGTATTGTAACCCATACTAATATTATAATATGTTTTTTTTATAGCTGATATGAATAAGGTAAAGTCCAATGTAAATTATGTAAAACAAGATGTTTCATCCTTTATTGAAGATAATCCTGCAACTAATCGTCAGCCAAATTCAAATATAAATTCGGAAGAAAACCATTTATCATGTTTTCCATTAAAAAATGAAAATGAACTATTAGCAATGGAATCAACATTACAAAATGGAGAAATAAACTACACAAACAAATTGGTATGTTGTATTTTTTTTTATTATGGAATAATTGTGTATATATTATGTACATTTACTTTACACAGGTATCAACACTAATTTTTGCCTCTGAAGGAAAAAATATTTCCAAAGTCACTTATAGTATCTTAAAAATTATGTTTTCTGATGAGCTACTGAAGTATTACAGCTGGAAAGGTCAAAAAAATAAAAAACCATTTTCAGAGTTTAAAATTTGTAAAGTCATTATTGGTAGGTATCTTTTTACTTTTTCATTACATTATGCTATTATATCAATAATATATTGTACAGCATATTGTTTGGTTATGGTATTTTATATACTATCAATATAGTTCTGAATTAATTGTTGTTATTTTAAGATGCTGTTAGACAAAAATTTCCTGAACAAAAAGATAGCAGAAATTACATCATCAGTAGTATTATGTCATGGCTAGCACAGGCACCAACAAGGATTGCAAAGTAATTACCTAGTATATAATTTTTAGAAAATCAAAAATATAATAAATATTGAAGAAACAATAATATATGATGATAAAAATGAATATGCTTTTTCCTAACACTAAGTTGTTGATGAACAAGGTTGTTATGTAAATCATTAATTTATCTTAACACTTTCTAAATAGATCATTATATTACACGGATTTAATTATTCCTAGATAATGAGAAATAAATACATTATTTTATTAATATGGTTTTTTTTTAAATACGAAAAATAATTCTTCAAATAATTGATTTTAAATGAGATTTTACTTTCTGATATTACAAGCATTGATTATTTAAGTTATAATTATATAAATTAAATATTAATTTTATGATTTTTAAAACTGTAGCATTTATTGTTATTATGATGATAAAACTGATTAGGTATAATAACCATTCAAAATTTCTAAAAAATCATATACTTCACTTTTATGTTTATTATTAGTTATTATTTAATGCATAAGGTATACTATTATACACTTCAACAATGTATAACCAATATAGCAATATTAATTGTAAATTATTTTTATAATTGCCTTCATTGTTCTGTATGTTTACAGCAAAGAAAAACAAAAAAAAAAGAGAGAAACTGCAGATTATCATCATCGTCAAGATTATGAAGACAACATTGATGATAATAATATCAATTCAACTTAAATTATTTTATATTTCAATTCAAGTAAAAAAAAAGAACAGGCATACCTATACAAGTAACTTTTTAAACGTTGTATCAAATATGATACTCTTATGAAACATATGTTTATATAATAAGTATTAAGTTTCTTAAAATGTATATTGTGTATCTTAATCAATTTAAGTAAAAAGTCATAAAAAATTTTTCTTTTGTATAATTATTATAATATTACTATAATACATAATATTGTATATCAATTTATAAGTAAACAAAAAAATAACTGAAGTAATTTTTTTGTTTATATAATATTTCTATTATACTATTATAATACTATTCCGAAACACACTTTTTTTAATGTTTTTTATTATTATATTTCTTAAAATATGTATTGTGTATTTAACAATTAAAGTAAAAACACGAATCTTTAAGAAATTTTTATTTATTATTACTATAATATACATTATATTTATAAAAAGGTAAAAATTGTATATATACATTTAAGTAATAAAATATGGGCAAGTGGGTGTTGCTCTGCGCTGTACTAGTAGATTACAAGTTACATAATGGATTGTGTTCAATTTAAATCCAATGATATAATATCATTGTATAAGAAAAACGATTCTAACCAAAGACGGTTTACTGCCTAAATATGATATAACTAAGTATATTTGATGATATTATTGTGTATAAAGTAATTTATATATTATAATTTATAACCTATTTACATGGAACATTAATTTAAATTTTCAATTATTATTTTTTTAACATATTATCATACTTACCTTATCATTCAGTTATTATGACATTGTGTATTTTATATCAAAAATATATGTAAATGGGGCTTCTGACTAAATAAAAATATAAACACATTAAAATGGTATTTAAAAATATTTAATTGATATAATAAAAATATTCTTATGATATTTCATTAGCAAAAAACCATGGAAAAATTAACGTATAAAAAATGTTTAAAACATACGTTTCTAACCAAATAAAAATATTATACCTACATTAAATTAGTATTTAAAAAATATCTAATTCATATGAAAAAAATATTTTTATCATATTTTTTAAGCAAATAACATTGAAAAAAAAACGTATAAAAAATGTTTAAAATGTGTTTTTTTAACATTCTATTTTAAATGAAAAGTTGGCCATTATAACATTTTAAAAATCTTTTTGAAAGCAATTTAAAATCTATATTTAATGTTTTTTAAAACATTAAAAAAATATTTTTTTGTTTCTTGGGAACCTATACAGGACAACAATGAACGCCAACCATGCGAAGTACAAAACTTTATAAAAGCTGACACGTATTCTAATCCTGAGATATGTACGGTAAAGAAAATTAATTTAAAGAGAAGCATATACCAAAAATTGAAAAAAAAGAATATATGGATTCTTGCAGGAAAAGAGACATTAACAGTAAGTTGCGCTAACCTAATAGATCCATTCATAATTCAAACAAATGAAGCAGGAGAAATAGCTATAAACGACATCAGTTGCCAAGTATTTGCACGGGACGCAGTATTAACTGCCACAGAAGAAATCCAAAATACAAAATATAAAGACTTCACTTATTTTACTAACCACAATTAAAATTGTAATATGAATAAAAGAAAAAACAATAATAATAATAATGATGACATTAAAAATTGTAAAATGTTCACATTATTGTAATCAAATGTAATACTATAATCAAATTGTTAACTGTATACAAAATTTAAATGTCAATGTAAACAATGTAATTCAGCCATTGTAAACTATTAATTAACGATGTTAAAGATTCTTAACCCTTAAAGGTTAACAATCTTTTTTTTGGTAGGGAGGTGTACTGGGATTACGCAATATCATGAAGGGCCGCATGTAACAGGACTTACAACACGGCCTATAATAAAACTCAAATAAATTCTCAATATATATATTCACCACATATTCAACAGTAAATAATTAACCCCTTTTTACTTAAAATTATTCTTAATTTATTCTTAATTTATTATAATAATCAGCACGAATTATTTCAATAAATTATTTCTAGAATGGAAATTGTTACCTAATGAGGACGTCCTAAATAACTTCAACTATAAATGTTAATTAATAAATAAAATACATTTTCCTCAAATTGATTACTATCGGAAATAATTTATTAAATAAAACTGCAATGCCTTTAATTTATTTCTTCTCTAAATAACTGAATTGAATTTCCGTTGTATTTCAATAACTATATTTATTCCTAAAATAATTTTATTATTCTATAAAATTATTAATTAACTCAAATTATTATAATAAGCAACACAACTGAATTCGATAATCTGATGCGTAAAATAGAAATTGTTCAGCTTAAATAAATTTAAATAGTAGGTACAAATGTCTATAATTAATCAATCAGAAAAATTATATTTGAATATGAAAATTAAAAATCAAGAACAATTAAATTGTTTAACTAAACGATTAAAATTTATTAAAATTATTATGTTAATTTACTTAAATAATTAAATTAAATTGTTAAATTAAATTATTCAAATGGTTGAAAATTATTTTAAAATCAAAGTACTATTTCTATTTTATTTAAATGATTGAAATTTATTTTAAATTTAATTTATTATGTTAAGTTAAAATTGAATTATTAATTTAAATTAATTAACCGATTGGATAATTTTATTGTAAAATAAAATTATTTTATTTTATTTAACGATTGAAGATTTAGTTTAAAACAAAATATTATTTTAATTTAATTTAATAAAAAAAAAAATTTTAAATTATTTTAAATTTATTAAATGATTGCAAATTATTGTTAATTATTATTTATTGTTAATTTATTATTTTAAATTATTTAAATGTTAATGAATTTATTTTATTAAAATGGTTAAAATTGTATTTAATTTAAACTATTATTTTATTTTATTTTAAGTTAATTTATTATTTTAAATTATTTTACTGTTAATGAATTTATTTTATTAGAATGATTAAAAATTTATTTAATTTAAACTATTATTTTAGTTTATTTTATTTTAATTTAAATGATTGAATAAATTTATTGTAAATAAAATTATTATTTTATTTTATTTAGAAATGACCTAAAGTACTGAACAATATCTATCTTATTCTATTAAAATGATTGAAACATAAAATACCTGAAAATAAAAAATTTTATTTAATTTAATTTAAAGTTAAAAATTTTTAATTTATTTAAAATAACTGGCCACGTTATTTTAAAATAAATTATTATTTTATTCAAATGTTATTTATTTTAATCCTTGAAAAACTAATGATTTATTTTATTAAAAACACTTGTAAAATTCAACACAATTTCGGTTTGTTGAAACGAAAATTCAAAGTTCCTAAAATTGCTTATATTATTTAACACGACTATTTTCTTCACTTATTATTATATACTATGATCATGCATATACCATAGGAGACGAACACCACGATATTAATTACGTAAGCATACTTACAAAAACGCAGCTGGTACAGCGGGTGCTTCCATTTGCTCGGTTGAAATGTTGATTGTAGTTGGGTGTTACGTAGTTGTACAGGATTCTTTCTCGGAGTTGCTGGAAGGTGATCAATCTCCCAACGGTGATCCAGTGATGAATTTTCCTTCTTAATTGAATTTTAGAAGTTGAAAAATTTTCAAAAATTTTTTAATTGTTCTTCAGGTTTCTTCTAAGTATCCTTTTGAGATACCCTGTCCACAGCGCCAATTTTGTAACGTACCAACCACTTCAACTCAATATTGATGGTATTTTGAATTAAATAACAAGTCGATTTTGTAATGATAGTTCAGTTGTATTTATTTAACACGTAAAATAGACTAAGTCCAAATAATTAAATTATAAAATTGTGGTAAACGGGATGTGACTTAGTATCGACTTCGTGGCTGTTCTGCTATAGTGCTCGTCGTCTCGGCTGGTATTCGTCTGATGGACACTTGTCCATCGACGTATTTCGTCGGTTTTCCTATTAGATCCCTCCTATGGCATTTTTAGTATAAAAATGGTACATAGCTGCGTATACCTGACGTCATTTCGGCGTCCTCTACGAAATAATGTTAATTGGGATTATATGTTTTCAAAGTTATCTATTTTTGTTGTTTACGGCTTTTTCGTCTTTCCTAGAATATGGATAATGTGCGCGTATACCTATCGGGAGCACACGAGTTGCGTCCCATAAAAAAGGTATACACGAATTGCGTCCCAAAAAATCAAGGACGCAATTCATGTATTTTAATCAAGGGTTCTTAAACAACTAACAAAAATAAATAAATAATAATATTAACGTTAATAATCAAAATGTCAGTCAAAAAATTTTTTATCAAATGTAGTAAAAAAGTAAATAAACATTAAATCACTTAGATCTAGTCAAAATCAATATAGGTAGTCCATAATATAATAAATAAATAAATAATAATCATAATAATAACAATAATGTTAATAATCAAAATGTCAGTCAAAAAATTGTAAATAAACGTTAAATCACTTAGATCTAAACAAAATCAATATAGTCCATAATATATTAAATAAATAAATAATAATCAATAATAATAATGTTAATAATCAAAATGTCAGTCAAAAATTAGGTTTATACTTATTAGATAAGCTTTTTACAAAATGTAACCTTGTTATTTTATTTTCATTTAGTTTTTTTATCTGATTTTCAACAAATAAAATGTTGTTTCGGCGTTGTTTTCTATATTGACGTATAGAAATTAGCGAGCTTCTAACTAACACTACAGTATCGGTTTGAATTATCTTTAAAACATCTAAAAATGTATAAATATTTGGATGGGAACTATTAAAAAAACTATTAAATTTTTTGTGAAAAGACTCACACGCGTTTGTAGTTCGCTGTAAATTAACAGTAAATACTGTACCTAATCAAGTATTTTATATCAGCTTGGTAAATCCAGAACATTGTGAAACTAAATGCTATACACACCAGGGGCGGATTGGGGAGAGATTCCGGCCCGGGAAAATACAAAGTATACCGGCTTACCAATTTACCAAATATTTAATTTTAGCCAACATAATATTATTATGTATTACTATTTTAACATAACTACACGTTTGGCAAGATATAAAATTTATAAAACTTTATTCGTAGTGTATATACATCGATATCAAATTAATTTTTATTTTTGAACAGTTTATGTTTACACATTTATAATAGTCCAAACTCCAAGTACTTATATATAACACAGTAAAAGTGAATAATTTAAATTACTAATGTTACGATTTTTGTATTTAATAAGAAAGGTTATTACCTATTCAATAATATTTAATAATGCGTTTTTAGACTTAAATAAAATCTTATAATTTACTTCCACTTAATATACCTGATAGGTAAATTAACATGCAAAATGTATGTGTTTTTTTTTATTTTCTAAAAAAATGTTTTACTGTGGTTTATTCATAATAACATTATGTAGGTACTTCAATTCTAAACAATCAGAAAAATTGTATAGTCTTGTTTTCCTTTAGTATTATTATGTAATATAATATTGAGTAAAATGTTTTGTCTCCGTCTTAGTATAATCTAACAAATTATCGTTCACTATCTGTATTCACCGATCAGCCGAAACGATATAATAATAATATTTAGCTGTAGTAACTAAATATTATAGAAATTATTGTATACCTACGTAATGTTACTTCCCTATTATTCAATGATTTATAAATTCGCCTAAACGATCGGTTAATTTCTGACCCAAATGATATATGCTTTACTCAAGTTAATTTTGGATTATTTGCCCAAACGAATGACGCTCAAATTTTTTACACCCGAAATACGTGTACTACTGTATTAGTATACTGAATTAAAAAGTGTATAAAACAATTTTCGGAAATTTAAACACTGTTCAAAAGTTACAGCAAATCATAGTTTTTGAATATTACAGTGCTTACTGCTCAAATCAGGTTGACTTTTTCTATTTTCTACTTCCACGGGATGTCAAGTAAAGTAGACTTTTTCCGAAGTTTGTCGTTACCTAGAGATCACCCAATGTGGTTTTACATAACATATCAAGGGTTGTTTTCGATTTTAACTGTCCTAACTAGTGACCCCGCTATATTACATTTGCTGTTTTTGCTTTTCGAAAAATACTATATTTTTGCTTTCTGCCTACCTGATATACCTACTATTGCATACTGTCCGCAATCCAATTCGTATTATCTTATTTTGAAAAATCGGGAAAAAAATGCAAATTTACTGGGCTGGTACCTAATAGGAATTTAAGAATACATAGTTATTTGAAAAAGCGGCCCACTGGGAAAACTCCCGAATTCCCGGTGGCCCAATCCGCCCCTGATACACACATATATATAATACAAAGCTTTACCGATATAGTATAGGTAGACTAGAGGTGGTATTTTATTGTTCACGATTACGATAAACGAACTTGCTATCGTAATTTATATTACTATCAAAACATAATATTAGAGCCCAGGCTATCTTATAATAATTAACACACCACGGAGAACCCCTGAAAACGAAATAAAACTCTACGACCTAACCCATATATAGTGGGACGCAATTCGTGTATACCTTTTTAACGGGACGCAACTAAGGTGCCCCGTACCTATCAAGGTTCGCGCTGTACGCCTGTACCATTAATTAGTTCTGTGCTCTTATCGATGTGGCTGCCCGGACGCTTATATTATTACTATTATCGGGTTACGTGCCCCCTGCAGCATTTATATCTGTTATTGAATATAATATATTATATTATAAGCGTATTATACTTAATACAGCATAATATAATATAATATTTATATATTATTACTATTATAATATGTACGTAGTCACAGCCCGTTACATCATCATGAATAATAAAAATAATGTATGTAAATGTAGAAAATTATATAGAGTAAGCTCTATTAAATACCTAGGGTTATATATTGATGCTAATTTAAAATGGGATGTACACATAAATTATATAAATAATATGTTAAGAAAATTGTTCTACATATATAAATCTCTTAGATCTATTTTAAACGTCAAATTAAAAAAATTGACATACCTTGCACTAATTCAATCTATTATTTCTTATGGGTTTTCATTTTGGGGAGGAACATATCATACTCACTTTCGGAACCTTGAAATCACTTTAAACTCATTACTCAAATTTATTTTCAATAAACCTTCACTATATTCTACAATTAATTTATATAAAGAGCTAGAGATATTAAATTTAAAAACATTATACACAAAAAACATTTGCCTATTGTTTTACAGTTTCAAAACTTGCATTGATGTTCCGTGTCACAATTATAATACGCGCTTTAAGATTAATACTAATGTTATTGTTCCTAAAATTAATACAGTATTTGGGCAACAGAGCCCTAAATATAAGTTCATAATATTTTGTATTAAATATAATAAATTTTAATATTCATGATTTTAACAGCTTTAAAATGTATAAAGGGGGAGGTGGTGCTGTACCTTCTCGTGGTCTCCCCTGTTTAGTAGTGTCATTGTTACCAAGTAATATCAAAGTTCTCCACTTAAGAAATTATACAACTATGACACGAAACAAAACAGCACCAAATTGGCGGCCAAACGTCTTAGGACCTCCTGGCCATACCGGCAAAACAGTCTTTTTCAAGGCTACTAGGACACATGCTTTGAAAGTAGCACTAACTCCAGAAGAAAAGAAAACTACCAAAAACCAAAAAAAATTTTATAAAAAGGAAAATACCAAAAAACAGTATGGACATAGCCTTGATAACCAAAAGGACCAAAACTTAAACCATGGTAATAATAATAAAATTGGTAAGAAAGCCACAGAATATCTTTTGAGAATAGTGCAGCTCAACGTTGAAGGAATGACCAAGTCAAAGGCTGAATTAATCAGTCATATTTTCCACCACGCGGACATTTTAGCACTG